AAGAGCTTTGTTAGAACTTGCTTTAGTTGTGATTCTGTGTCTCTGGAGATGCTGAAAGGGCATGCTGAAAGAAAATCTTAGTCCAGTGAACTCCCTGCCCCTCCCCACTCCACTTTTGATCCCATTCCCACTCTGCCCCTATAAAATGTCTCTGGTATATAGTTTTTCATTATTATTATTTTTCCCCGTGGTCCTTTATGCTCCTGCTATGAGTGAAACCATCCAGTATTTTACTTTTTCTTTCTCACTTATTTCACCAAGCATGATCCATTCCAGCTCCATCTATGTTGCTGCAAAAGACATGAATTTATCCTTTTTGATCTCTGAATAATATTCCATTGTGTATATGTAACACATCTTTTAAAAACAGTCATCTACTTTTGGGCATTTGGGTTGATTCTATGTCTTTCCTATTTTTTTTTCTATTGTAAATAAAGCAGCAATAAACATGGGTGTACAAGTGTCTTTTTGAATCAGTGGTTTTGTATCTTTTGAGTAGATACCTAGGAGTAGGATGTCATATGGAAGCTCCATTTTTAGCAATTTGAGAAACCTCCAAACAGTTTTCCATAGTAGTTGTACTAGTTTGTATTCCTACCAGCAGTGCAGAATAGTTCCTTTTTCTCCACATCGTCACCAACATTTGTTGTTGCTAGTTGTTTTAAGTTGTGCCATTCTCACTGGGGTGAGGTGGTATCTCATTGTGGTTTTAATTTGCATCTCCCTTATTACAAGTGATGTTGAACATTTTTTCATATGCTGTTGGCCATCTGCATTTCCTCTTTGGAGAAGTGTCTTTTTAGCTCTTCTGCCCACTTTTTGATGGGGTTGTTTATTTTTGTTGAGTTTCATCAGTTCTTTGTATATCTTTGTGATCAATCCTTTATTGCTAGTATTGTGTCATTTATCTTTTATGAATGTTTCATTTTGCACTACTATGGCAGTTTAGTAACTTCAACAGGAGTTTGTCCACAATTATGAAAATATTTACTGTATACTTCTCTGGAGAAAGTTCACCAACCCCTGCACTAGAATATAAATAGAAAAGTTTCACAAGGTACAATATTCTATAAATAACAAAGAAGTTTTAAATATTCCAAAGGTTTCAAGGCTTAGAAAGGGGAAAAAATCATAGATCCCAATGAGCATATTCAAATAACACTTTTAATAAAAGCAAATGATGGGATACAATAGGAAAATAATAATTCAAATGAGCATTTAAGAACCACATAATTTCCAGAACAAGTTGCCCAATGTCCCTATCTTGTCATGAAGACAAGATTTATCTTTGGTTGAAATTGTTCATATTTTTGTTGATTTATGTATAAATAAACTTGATTTCAGGGAAGTTCAAACAGAAGTTCCCTGAAGATTCAAATACCACAAACCAGATCTCTAACCAATTATCTCAAGTAACTCAAGTATCTCAAGTTGAGATAACAAAATATCAAACTAATTGACTGTAGGCTTCACTGTGGAATTTTGAACGGAAAAAGAACCTTACCATAAATCAGCTTGTTAGATAGTTAGCTAGTTCAATAGTCAGTAGCTAACATCACATTTGAAAAGATAAACTCAATAGATATCTGGTTTTCCAATCCCAAACAAAATGTATGTTCTTCACAAGTGCCCATATAGATTCCCAAGGATAAATAATATGTTGAAAGGCAAAAATCTATATCAATAAAATTAGAACCCATATTGAGTCATAAAACAGGAGTTAAAATTCATTAAAGCTGAAGGCATATCAACTCTGTTTTCTGATCCCCACAACAATCAAACTAGAAATCAGCCACAGAAAGAAAGCAGGAAAAAGCCTCTACCATATGGACATTGAATCACACACTACTGAATGACTATTGGATTAAAGAAGAAATTGGGGCCCTCTCTGGTGGCGCCGCAGGTTAAAGCACAGCACTAAGAAGCTAAAGCCATTTCTGCATGAGTTCAATGCCTGCCAGTCCCAGAGGTGACCCACATGGCGTGGCAGACCTCTCTTGACCCGCTCACTGCTCCCCTCAGCAATGTACTTAGTCAATAGGCCTGTTCTGCTCCCACTCTGTCTCTGGTGAATCCTCTCGCTGCCCCTGTACCTATGGCCTGTACACCAGTTCTGTATACATGAATTAATAAATATTAAAAAAAAGAAGAAATTGAAAAATACCTGGACACGAGTGAAAATGTAGAGCATAGAATGTGTGGGACATAGGTCCTATGGAAAGTACATAGTAACACACCCTACATCAAGAAACAAAAAAAAAGAGCTATAGTAAATAACCCTACCTCTCAACTTAAAGAGCTTAAAAAAGAGGAACACATAAAACCAAAAGGAAATAATAAAAAAGAGAAATTTAAAGAATAGAAATAAAAAAGATAGTTCAATAGATAGTTCAATAGAACCAAAACCTGGTTCTTTAATTTAAAAGTTTAAAAAGTAGATGAAACTAGAATCACTAAGAAAAAATGGTAGAAAATGTTAATAAATAGAATCAGAACAGAAAGAAGTTACAACAGACATTTCAGAAATATGAAAGATCAAAGAGATTACTGTGAACAGCTGTAGGCCAGCAAATTTACTAACCTAGAAGAACTAGACAAATTCGTAGAACTATACCACCCTCTGCCACAGAACCTGAATAGAAAACCTCAACAGAGCAATTACAAGCAGAAATTGAAGCAGTAAACAAAAAAATCAAAAAGAAAATGTAGAAGAAAATTGTCACTATTTGCAGATGAAAACATAATGTACATTAAAAAATACAAAAACTGCTAAAAATTGTTAAAAGTATTAAAAGAATACCATAAATTAAAAGTTTATTAATCTATATAAAATATTTTGCATTTCTATAGGCAAGCAGAAAACCAGCAGAAATTGTAAAAAGCAATCCTATTTATAACATATAAAAATACAAAAGAATAAATTTAAACAAAGGGGGTCAAAAAAACTATACATTGAAAACTATAAGGCATTTTATATTAAGAAGTAAAAAACACACACACAAAAAAATTGGAAAGTTGTCCTGGGTTCATGAATTGGAATAATTAATGAAATTAAAATGGTCATTTTTGCTAGACACATATTTAAATATAAACAATCTTCATCATGATTCTAACAGAATGTCTCTAAAATAAAAAAAAGTCTCAGACTTATATGGGACCACAAAAGACTCTGAATTGCAAAAATATTGACTAAAAAGGAGAAAAATAGATGCAGCATATTCTCAAAATTGAAACTATATTACAAAGCAATAACAATCAAATCAGCTTAGTATTGAAATGAAAATTGACACACAAATGCACAGCCCAACAAATATAACAACTAATTTACAACACAGAAGCCAAAAGCACATAGTACAGAAAGAAAATATTTTCTATTAAGTGGTACAGGGAAATGGTACAATTACATTCATTTTACATTACATGTGAAATAATAACTATTATTTTTTATAATATACACAAAATTATACATTATAATTCTAACTGAATAAAGGCCAGAAACTATATTAGATAGAACAAAATATAGGGAGTAAGCTCTTGACATCAGTGATAGTAATATCAATATGGACTCATTACAATGGCAAGAGAAACAGAAACAAACACTTCAGAGATTAAACTGCATTAAACTACAAAGTACTACACATCAAAAGAAACCATTATTCAATGAAAAGGCCACCTAATGAATGGTAGAAGATGTTCAAAAAGCAGGTATGTGGCAAGAAGTTAATATCCAAAATATATAAAGAATCTTACAAAAGTACAAAAAAAATTGATCAGGTCAAATAGATACTTCTCCAACAAAGAGATCCAGGTGACCAACAGGTACATGAAAGGATAAACTAACAAACAAAACAAAACAAAAACATATGCTTAAACTCTAAGAACAAACTGGTGGTTACTAACAGGGATTAAAGAACAGGGGATGGTAAACTTTGGGGAAAGTGGGGGTTAGAACAGTGGTGAATTTTATTGTGGGGGACAAAACCTGCTCTTTTGGAGTCAATCATTACACAGTGTGAATATATGTATACCTATACTACTGTACACTTGAAACCTATAAAATATTACAAATAAAATTTACTGCAATAAAAGTTTAGTGAAGCATTGTCATGTCACATCAGCATCAAGTGTATTTCAGGTGAAGAAAGAGAGAGCAGAAAACTTCTATCTAGAATTAATAGCCGTGAACATCCAAACCCTGAAAAGAACTTATTATAAAACTTATGAAGCCAATAGAGGATATAATTATCTAAATGCAGGCCCTATATTAAGATACAAAACAATAAAATTATCAAAATAAAAACATACAGATATATAGACATACCAAAAGAATGAACTTTTGGAAAACTGAAGATGAAGGTCTTTCGTGTGTCCAAATGAAGGACTGAAAGAATGTTGATATAAATTTTTCATGTAAAATGCAAAGAAAATTTATATTTCTTATGCAAAGAAAATTTGCATAAGAATATATGTATAAAAAGTTTAAAAATACAATATTGAAATTATGTAGTAAGTAAAAATTAAGTTTTTACTTTGGGACCCTCCCTGGTAGTGCAGAGGGTTAAAGCTCAGCACTAAGAAGCTCAAGCCACTTGAGCATGAGTTCAATTCCTAGCAATGGAGCTGACCCACATAGCATGGCAGACCTCTTCTCACCTGCCTGCTGCTCCCCTCAGCAGTGTACTTCCTAAATCAGCCTGTCTGCTCCCCACTTTGTCTCTGGTGAAGCCTCTCGCTGCCCCTGCACCTCTGACCTGTATTCCAGTTCTGTTTGCATAAATAAATTTTTAAAAAATCTTTATTTTGATACTTTATAATAATAGTTATAACTACACAAATTTCATGGATTTAAGTACACAAAAATATCATGAGATACAATTTGAAATCCTTTCCATATCCTGAAGTAGATTAGCAAGTATATGTGGAAAAGCATCTTTCTTTAAGTAGGTCTTCAGTACTTTACCCTTCCACACCAAGATACACCTAAGTAAATTGTTGCTTACAGATATAACGGTTTGTGTTATTGCAGGAATAATCCAAAATACTGTTGCTTGAGCTGTATATTATGCAGTTCTCTTTATGTGGAGTTTCAAGGAATGGAAATCTGTAATTAAAATATAAAAATAGGAAAACAGAATGTGGCAAAATGGCGCTTTTTACTAATGATAGAAATTTTCAGTGCATTTTAATGAGATATTAATATACTAAGCTTCTGTATTTTTATTCATAATCCAGTTTCCAAATTTCAGAATAGATATAATAAAAACTCAGCTATTGCCTCAGGAATCAATAGCATTTTATTTTGCCTTATTATGAATAGTTTTGATATATAATATCCTTTTCATCTATATTGTTTAAAGATATATTGACTTATCTAGGAAAATAAATCAGAGGGGGAAAATGTCTTTATATAATGATACAAATTCCATGTTTATGAATGAAAATTAAATACAGAAATTAAAAATATATACAAAATATGTCCAGAATGATTGAAACAAGGGAGAATACTGAGTATACTGGGCTCCAGCAGAATAAAGGAAATTATAGACAGTTTTCTCTGGACAACTCCAAAGAATATACCTCTGTATACACACACTCAGAGTTTCTACTAAGGAGAAGAAAACAAAACTTTATGTCAAAAGCCCTTAGATGGTCACAAAGATACAAACCTCATATCATTCTAAGATAAAATTGATTATTCTAGAGATGGCTAAAATTATTGTTTCTATTGAATCTAGTCTCTTCTCTGTATTCTTACATCTACACGAGTTAACTTAGCTACAGTATTGCTAAAGTATTGTTGACAAAGAAAAATAAACCCAGAGAACAGCAAATTCTTGCCTTCTGGTAACTCACATGTGTTGGGAGAAAACAGAGCCATTGAGCCACATCCAGTTCTGTTTTTCCTCACTGTAGCGGACACCAATCCAAAAAAAGTTTTTAGTGGACTTCAGAAAATGCTGCTTGGACAGATAAACATATTAACCTATTTGTATCTAACTTGGGATGTGACGTTTAACAAAGTCAGTTCAACATCAAATTCAGTCTTCCAATCAATGCGAGTGTGTTTTAACATGAAGTTTATGAGGTGTATATATATATATACATATATATGGTCACAGGTCTCTTATTTTTTCATTTATCAGGCTTAATTTTGTATGGAGGAGAACATATCACAAAATCTCACTTTTTGAAGGAATGAAAAATATTCTTAAGGGCATTAGAATTGTTTGGAACATTCCCCTTGCAGTGATCGATCAAATTTGACTCCAAATCAACAGTGTCTTGAGAGATGAATTTTGTGGAAATACACCTATTCAGTCAATACTCAGCACAGGTTCTGAGTGCAAAGAGATTTTTTTACTTTTTAATAAGTGCAGATTTGACACAAGCTATGCAACCTCTATCTACTGACATTCCGGATAGAGACGGAAGTGCTGTGAAAAATCAGACTTTCCACTCTAACTTATGTTATGACCTCCCTTTTTTGTATAATCATAATATCAAAATATCCTGAGCAACCTTCAGCTAACAATTGGATTGCCTCAGCCTCATAAGGCGCTACCTGGCCCTGACAAGCTAGTACTGCACCAGGGTGAGAAATTCCTCTTAAAGTCAAAAGTGATTTGACAACTGGCTGATTAATAAAAACAAATGGCTGTTACTGCAAAGTCTCTCACAGCCAGAGAGAGAAAAACCCAAACCTTATCACTCTACTATTTCACGTAGCCTTCTATTCAGTTTCTAAATAACCACTCAAGCTTTGTACTATCTAGTCTTTAGATATGGAAATTCACCCAAGTCTCCTATTCAGAGCGAATCAGGTTTTTTTACCTTCTAGACTTCAAGGAAACTCACCTAACTTTCTAACAAGTTTTTCAAAGAACCTTACCTTAATTTGATTTACAAGAAATTTCCTCTTCCTGCCCTCACTTTACCCCCCTAAGATGTCTCTATGAGAATGAAAGCCATTACGTAATAGATAATGTTTAAGGGACTTTATTTTCATTAATCTTCACTGTGGTAAATATAGTAATATTAGTCTTAAACTTTGTAAATCTATGTACCTGTTTTAACCTTGATAGATTGATTTTAAAATGTTATAATCGCAACTAAAGGTCAAAACAAAGGACCCCAGACTATTCTTAGAAAAAAGGTGATTGTCATCTCAGTCCATTTCATATGCTAATGAATTAGCCTGCCTGCCTAAAGTGTATAAGATAAACCTCTGCTCAAGGCAGAGCTGGAAGACTTGCACCCAACTCCCATTCCCATGTCTTCCTTACACCCACTCCCCTTTTATTTCCCCTTTTTCTAGTAATCTCTACTCTCTGATACAGTTCCCACCTTAAGACCCTGCCTGTTCTGCCCCCCAATAATCCGTGATCGGGGACAAAGAGTCTCTGACAGAGAATTTTTCTAATACTACTATCCACATTTTATCTCAGGATTAATGTTACCATATAAAATTACAAAAGAAATTAAAAATTCAATTAAAGAAGTAAAAATTATAAAGTTGTTCTTTGAACAAAAGTGAGCTACTGTTTCTTATTTTAATTCTCCCTAAGACTTTTTTGTACTTCATCCGGAATTGAAATTGGGTTTACCCCATAACATCATTGTTAGAATTTAGATGTAGGTTTTATAATGTCGGTTTCAAAGTTTAAAAAATTAACTCTGTCTCTGGTGAATCCTCTCACTGCCCCTGCACCTCTGGCCTGTACACCAGTTCTTGTATGCATAAATAAATAAATCTTTAAAAAAAAGAAAATTATCAAGTCATTAATTGAAATCTAACTATCCATTCCCTATCAGATTAAAATCTTGAATCAAAGTATTCATTACTTACTACATTTTTTCTAAGTCAAAGTAAGTGTGGGAAATCAGAATTAAATACATGCCAATTCATCTCTGCTTTCCATCTGAAGAAGAGTGGAATTGTGAGAACGACAGAAATCCATACTCTTTTCCCAAGTTTTTAAGTCACTGGAAACAAAGTAACAGCTGCACTGGTACCCAATCCACCTTTCTTGGCAAGAACAGCAGTCAGGTCCTAAAGGAAAAATATAGCATAAACGATGACACAGGGGATTCTGTTTTTTCAGTGCTGTTCATTCAAGACAATCATTTTTCACTGCAAATATTCTTTGCAAATCTACTATATACTCCACCATTCAGGGAATATTGCTGTGAATGAGTCGATCATGATTCTTTCTTCATGGAGATTATTTTCTTGCAATAGAGTAAGAATTATATAATTCCCAATCATTTACTAATGAAATTGTTGATGATAAGGGTAAGTAAACAAAAGTAATTCAGAGTGTTAAAAAGTCTTATAGCATACTGTATGATGCAGGGGTGAGATAGTTACAAGAAAACTCTTTTGAGTAAATCACTAAAATTGAGCTTTGCTGTAACTAAGAGAAGCTAGATGAAAGAGATAGATGAGAAAAACATTTTAGTTTATTTCCTCAGTCAAAAGAGTGTAGTGTATTTGGGAGAATTTTGATATGTGTTTAACATAATGAAGATAAATTTTAAAATTAGTTTAAAGTCCCATTATATAGTTTATCAATGACAGTACCTTAAACATTTACTATTCTCAATAATAAAAGTCATCGCCCACAGTAAGCACTCAAATCTTTGCCAAATGAATGGGACTGAGGTTGTGAATAGGCTGGTGGCTACCAGGATTTTGGGAGGAAAGAAAAGCATGAGGAAAAGAATGTCAAAGGGCATAAACTTCAAGTTACAAGATGAGAAAATTTTTGGAAATTACTACACAGCATTTTGATGATAGTTTAACAAAAGCTGTATCATATATGCATAAGTTGGTGAAAACAGTATATCTGAAATGTTCTCATCACAAAAAGAAATGGCAATTATGAGGTTTGATGGAAGTGTTAGAGTGATGGAAGAAGTTTTAACATTTCTCAAGAGTTTGGAACCTACCTTTCTGGAATGGTGTAGAGGGTTCTGTAGTGCTTGTTTCTTTACTATTTTCTTGAGGAAATGCTGAAAGAACTGATTAGAAATTCACTTAATTAGATACAGGTTTATGAAATAAAGTATTACAGATTAGCAAAATTAAATATTTAATATTTAATGACCTTATCAGAGTTTTGATTGTTTTTAAGACTTGCCTATAAAAACTTACGGTTTTTCAATAAAATTCCCAAAATAATTATCAATGAAAGGCCCGTGACTCCTAAGATCCCAGAAATCCACCTCCATAGGTTATACCGAAAACCTGTTGAGAAAGAGAACTGGGATAATAACGAAAGAATAAACACACACACACACACACACAAAAAAAAAAAAAAAACAGAAGCACACACTCTTCAAAGCAGAAACCAACAGGAGAAAAATTCTAGAGGTCCTTTGGTTAGGTAACTCAACATTCCTGGTAATGCAATGCTGGAATGTAAGGCCATACCATTCAGCACCCCACCAAAATAACTATATATATATATGTATAGTATATGTATATATATATGTATATGTATAGTATATGTATATATACATATATATGTATATGTATAGTATATGTGTGTGTATATATATATGTATATATATGGGCTATAGCTTGGTGATTGGGAGTAAAAAGAGAACAACAGACACAAAGATGAGTCCTCTGGATTTAGGTAACAGGTATTTACTTTAATCTCTAAATAAAAAATAATCACAGGTTAGCGTGATTCTTTAGAAGTAAATGAGAAAACTTAACATCCACTTATAATGTTGTTTCTCAAGGGTATTGAAGTCAGTAAGAATCTGACTTAGAAATAAAACGAGTTTGTCTAGTCCCAGCTCTTTTGTGTGACATGTCCTGTCCCTGTGAAAATTATGTTCCTTTTGCATACCAGGTCAGAGAAATGGCAGGAATACAGAGCCCTGGAGAAGCCGCATGGGAAAAAACAGACAGAGTCACCCTGGAACTGATAAAAGGTTAACACCATGGGTATCTGCGTTTATTTGTCACACTTTGTATAATGATACTTAAGCAAACTTTTCTTACAAGGTATTACATTTTCTCATGTCTCCCCTAAAATAATAGAATATTAGAAGATTCTGTGTTAACATTAGCACACTCCCAGACAGTGTCATCATGACCAGTCGAATACTTCTAAATATTAATCTCAGTGTTTGGTGGAATGTCTCAATATAAGTAATGCATTTGGGGAAAAAAACATTTTTAAACATTGTCATTAATATTTGTCATTCCCTTTATACTTCTATGTTCAAACTATGTAGGTCACAATTTAACCTGATAAACTAGTTCCCACTAATCATTCAGTTATTTCTATTGAAAGTCACTCTTTAAGCTGTTGGAGTAACTTTACAAAATATGGCTAGTTCAGCAGTGAAGCATTGGAAGAAAATAAAGAGAAAAAGAGAAGCCTAAAAATGTCCACTTTTTCTTAAAGCACTGCACAGAATATCCATCATCATAATATAAATTTTGTGGTTTTTTTCATTTTTTTAATTTAATAGGGATGCCACACATACCTGCCATGAGAAATGAGAAATGTGCTCCAGGGTCGAGGTAGGCCGGAGGTTTGCTGGATCATGAAGTTGAGCTAGCAGCTAAAGAAGGCAAAGTCATGTGGACAGAAATTTCAAAGAAGAGTTGTTCATTCAAACAACTATCTTGACCCACCTCTATGAGACTCGGATGCATAGTATGAACAAGAAGCAGCAAAATCACCAGCCTTTAAAATGTTCTGGAACCACAGCACAGGAAATTCTCACAATAATTGCGTAATGGCAACCTTTTGATTATCACAAAAGCAACAAAGGTTTTGGGTTTTTTTTTTTTAATGTTTGAACATTAAAATCATTTAAAAATTATTTGGAAATTGTGGAAAAGTGAATATACCAAAGTGAGAATATTTGGTAAAATAAAATTCCACTTTTAATAATAATAAACATTCATTATTTATCTTGTGCTAAACACAGGTTATTTTGTTTACATTAGCTCATTTCGTTTTGAAAAAAGCTTATTAATGAAGATAAATAAATATACTAATTTTATCAGTTGAGACAATGAAGGCATCATGAATTGTCAAGGTGACTTACATTTGAAATTCAGGCTGTAATTTCCCCACAGCACACATGTGATGAATTAAATTTAAATCAGGGCATTTCTCTGAGTCTATATGGCATGTGGGTTTTCATTTTCTTTACACAGAGTGGTGGTGTTTCCCTGTATCAGTCTGTGCTCGAGTCCCCTGCTTCCTTAGCTCAGCTTGGGAAGGCAGAGATCAAAAAGTTAGAATCAGAATCCTCCCGTTACTGTTTCATATTCGTTCTCTCTCTCTCTCTCTCTCTCTCTCTCTCTCTCTCTCTCTCTCTCTCACACACACACACACACACACACACACACACACCTGTGATCCACAGCCTCAGCTCAGCTGGCCTGAGCCCACCCTTAGTGACTCAATCACATTAACCTTCAAACCTTCCTCCATCACCTGACTTCCAGGGTACTTTCCCTGGATGGGTTTGAACTTGACCACAACCTTTTCATATCCCTACCTTTCCCAATGTTTTAATTATTATAGTTGTGTACCGTTTTAACGCATTCATATAATAGACTGATAACGTAATTTACATAATTTGTGCTCAGAAGAACTACTTTATTCATGGACATTTCAAATGCAGGCCAGATGAGCAGAATAAGCTCTTTATTTAAACTGTTTTTGGTAGGGGTAGAATTTTGTTAAGCGTTATAATTGTTGGGAACCAAAGATTTACTGACAAGGAAAGAATTGAGCCTTGCATCCAAGCCTGATATGGGGATAACAAACTGACAGTCAACTGGGCCTAGCATCCGGGAGATTCAGGTGGGAGGAACTGGGCCTAGCACCAGGGGACACAGTGATGAGTCACCTTTGGAATGTGAACCTAGATCTATATAAAAGACCCTTTCCCCCTTATTGAATTGGTTGTAGCTTCGCACCCACCCTCGGGGCTCTGTCTCAGCTGCTGTCCAGGAGCAGTAAACTCTGCTTGCTCAGCCTTTCTGCCTCCTGTCCTTCTTGCGGCCAGTCACAGAAGTTGGGACCAAACAATAATATTGTCATAGATGAAACTTTTTATAAAGAGCAGATTTTCAAACTCAAAGAAGAAAATCAAGGATATGATTTCTCATTTACATAAAGTCAGGTTTCCTCTTTTTAATCTGTACTGTGTCTCTAAAACTGCTTTAACTGAACCACCAAAGTTGTTCAAAGACAAAATTCCTGACCAGAAAATATAAACCAGAAAAAATTTTATACGGATTTTGTGTAAATTCAAGTTGAAAGAGGGATTTTATAAATGATCCTTTGCCTATTTGAAGTCTATTCTTCAGTTTTGATGCTGAACAAAATTGAACTGGCAAAAACAACCAGATATTGCTCATTTCTTGCCCCAGGTAAAATTGCTTTAACTAAATAATTTAGAATTTGGGTTTCACATTTTGCTTTGGGATGGTACAAACTGATGACAATATATAGGACCGGCTTGTTACTACACTCTGACACAATAGTATTGCCTTTACTTAGAAGTTATTCTAGGTTTTCAGTATCATTTCATGAAACTGTTACAGGGTACCTCAGTGTGAACTGGGCTGTCTGTCTATGGGGCCTCATCCATAAGCTTAAAATTCAGTTGTTCTGCAGACACACACAAAAGGGTCAATAATGGGTTTATTTACTAAAGGAGAAAAGAAAAGTAAACAACCCAGGGAAAGAGAGAGGGATACAAAGTAACTGGAATATCTTACCAGCTCTGCTGACTTGGAGCTCTGGTAACTAACTGAAAGCCTCCTGTCAGGAGGTCCCGAGCACCGTTTCCCCAGTGAGAGAGACCATTGGACAAAATGGCTTCCTATTTATCCCCCAAAGTCCCAGAATGCCTGCTTAGCTCCGCCCTTGGGTCCTCACAGTTCTCTCCCTGATACTGCTGGGAGTTGTAGTTTCCAATCATTGGCATAGGGGGGCAGAATTCCTTTAGGACATCCTTCCCCTTAATAAAATGAAAGTCAATCATCAATCATGTCTTCTGTATTTTTTTTTTTCATCTTAATCTACCAACTGGGAAGTAAAAATCCATCAAAATTGTATTCAAGGTGAGAATTCCAGGCTCAAGTCATAGGCAAAATAAAAGGTATAATTTAACACCTTCCTTTAATTGTTTCTGAACTGCCAATCCAGAGTTCGAGTCGCCACCCCTATCTCTACTGGGAACAGAAGCCTTGGCCCACCCATCCCCCTTGGGTATTTGGTGAACTAAGGTCAAGGACATCTGTTTTCTATCTGCTGGGCTTTTTCTCCTGTCACTGCGGAACTCCTGCTGTCCTCACATGTCCAGCGTGCTGAGCAAGTATCGTGGGGATGGGCCAATGATACTTGGCCCATCAAGTATCTCTTGGCTGAGATTCCAGCCAAGGAATCTCAGGGTTTAGTATTATCTATTAACATACTTTAAGTACAGGTCCTGGTGGAACAACAGGTTAAAGCGCAGCACATGGAAGCTCTCAGCAGCTGCTTCAGCAAGAGTTCGATCCTTCCCCAGGGAGGTGACTCAGCTGGCACAGCAGATCTCTCCTGACCAGCCCACTGCTCCCCTCGGCGGTGTGTTTCAGTAGATCTGCCTGTTCTGCTCCCCACTATGTCTCTGGTGAATCCTCTCACACATACCCCCCCCCACCTCTGGCCTGCCCCCAGTTCTGTATGAATAAATAAATAAATCTAAAACATAGATAAACAACATACTTTAAGTATGACTTTAAAGTAAGGCAATTCTGAACTTTGTGCTTTGCCACGTGTCCAAAATTTCCAGTCACAGTGAGCACCCCATGTCCTCTACCAGCTACATAAAGAGACCACATCACGTTGTGCCCTGCTCTTCATTTCCTATACCAACTCTCCCTCCAACATTTATTCCAGAAACACCCAAATTAACTTTGCCCAAAGACTGTCCTCAGGCTCTGCTTCAGAGAGAACCCAGCCTGAAACTTTTCATTTCATAAGTTTATTTTAAAGAACAACACAAAAGTTTACTTTAAAAAATGTTAGGTGTCCTGCCAGAAGATGTTTCTGTCTTAGGAAAATTCTCTTGGGCAAGCAACACCTCTTCTCCCCCATAACCGACTAATGACATGGATCAAAGCAAGTGCTGAACCAGTAACCAAAGATCATTCAAATACAGAAAAGGAGTTGAAGAGAAGAAACTAAAGTTACTTAAGA